TGATGTGAAATATCCTAAATTATAGAATGACTCGTATATGAATTATAGAATGACTGAGGGCTGCAGCTCAACATGCTGGATGTAACTTCAACCAGTTACATTTTACATTCATATTGTATGGAATTATTTATTTTTTTTGCTGCATAGGTGGACTACACCAATGCTGGAACATGTGAACGGTGCTTCAATTTGAGGAAGCGTGCCATAGACTCCAGAACAGCCTGCACATGCACAGTCAGCTTCCACGTTCCAAAAACCTTTCCGGTGGGTCTGACTGTATACAATACCTTTCAAAAGTTTTGGGTCAAGATTTTTTTTTTTTAAAGAAATTAATACTTTTATTCAGCAAAGATAAATTTAATTTTCAAAAGTGACAATAAAGACATTTATAATGTTACTAAACATTTTTATTTAAAAAAAAATGTTGATTTTTTTCAACTTTCTATTCATGAAATCATTCATCATGGTTTCCACAAAAATATTAAGCAGCACAGCTGTTTTTAACATTAATAATAATGTAGGCTACCTTGAGCACCAAATCAGCATATTAGAATGATTTCTGAAGAATCACTAACACTGAAGACTGGAGTAATGGTGCTGCAAATTCAGCTTTGTCTTCAGAGGAATAAATTATATATTTTTTTTACATTTAAAATTGTAATAATATTTTACAATATTAGATATATTTTACAAATAAATACAAATAAATCTTGCAGACCAACAAATTTTGAACGGTACACTGTAAAAAAAATCCCGTAAAATTTACGGTAAAAAACCGGCAGCTGTGGTTGCCGGAATTTTACCGTAAATTGTTTGTAAAAAACAAAACAAAAACCGCATATAGCCTACAAGTTAAAATGAGACCTTGTCTGAGCAAAGGTAAATAGGCCTACAATTTTATAATATGCGAAATTGCGGCAGAATTTTCTATCTGCCTAGTACAGTACCACCGCTAAAAGCATGATTTACATAAATTCATGTAACATTGTTTTATTATTTAATACGCAAGCTCTTAAATAAGAGCTGTTTTCTGCCCAATAGATGTCCATTGTAGTTTTCGTATAAACGATTTCCACCAATAATTTTCTATGGCAAGTTTGTAATGCTTCAGTTGTTAGACCATTCAAAACACAGCTTTTTATAAAATGAGAAGACGTCCTAGATTAAAGTAATTAAAAAAAAGTCTGTTGCCTAATTTGAACGAGACAACCTTGTGAACCTCATAATTTGTCATCAGCGTGTTTCCTTTCAACATGAAGTAGCCTAGCTAGTAGTTCGTCTGAGCGCGCGCTGTCTCCCTCAGGGCGATGTTTTCTTTTACTACGGTCTGAGGAACTTTCATCAGAACCTGCGGAGGTACATGGACTCCCGCGATGATGCACAGATGGTGGGGAGGAAGAACAACCTGAAGGTGCTCGACGTCTCTTTCACTCCCCTTCTGTTTGCACTCCTTTTTCACGCTCTTTCCTCATCCCTCCCACTCACTGATTAAAACAACGTCTGTCTTTATTTGATCTCTCACTACGCTTCACATTAGTAGCGCTGTTGTCACATTCAAGATGCTGTTATTGCTCACGTAGGCACCGAGTTCATACTGCGCTCCGTTCGACTACGATGCAAACAGAATACCCATTGCCCCCTGCGGTGCCGTGGCCAACAGCATGTTCAATGGTAAGACCCATGTTACAATTACGCCAATAAACCGTCCGTTTTTTTAATCGCTGTTTGTGCTTGTATATAGACACGACGCCTTCAACATTTCTCACTCTATCACAGTTTATTCGCTATTGTTTAGAAAATGGTAATAAAATACGACAAGAACTCAGTTAAACTGTGTCAGAACAAATTCATTTTGATAATGTCAGATAACTTTGATAGAAGTAATGAATTAGGTTGAATAGCTGTCAGCTATCAAATTTAAGTACACAGTTAGATAATAATACCAATTTGGGGCAACCAATTACCAGGCAATGCTTAATTTTGTTCAGTCTGTGGTGTAAAAAGGTCGCATTAGCAATTAAAGAAAGTACACTTAAGTAAAACATGGTCAGGTCAAAGTGTCTGAATAATTTTTGGTCCCAAATTATCAATTTTACCGGTAGTCCACTGTATGAAGAATTTTTAAGTATAATATGTCACAGTTTATTTTGCTATCGTCACTTACATATATAGTGTCCTGCACCCACTAGTAAAAAAAAAAAATTATATATGGTGTCTGAATCATTTTTGGTTTGACTGTATGTATGTGTATGTGTGTGTATATATATATATATATATATATATATATATATA